TTGTGTGGATGAGAGTTAAGCCAAAATAAAATAAACAAGCATTGAACCAACTATGGTGTAAAGTGACCTTTGTGCTTGACAGAAGCCTTATTGGTTAGATTGACTGAGCTAATGGTTAGAGAACGTGGATTATGATACCACCAAGCTAAACACCTGCTAAATACTTAATTACGAGAGCAAAAAGTAATTATTTACCATGTTAGCAGCAATGTTTGTCAGTCCATCCCGACTGACATATCTCCCCCAGATGATGAAATTTGGTACACACAGTAATGCCACCCTCATGATGAATTGCTATAACTTTGGTGATACGTTATCATTTCCTCTAGCACCATCATCAGTTTAAAATTAAAATATGTCCAATACTTAAGTTACTAACCTAATACTTACTTACAAAAGCTTGAACTTTGTCTTTAGTGGTAACTGGCAAATAGTAGCACTCTGACAGGCTAAACTAAGATGGTTAATGTGGTCAACATTACATAAACTAAAAAGCAGACATTGTGAGCATGTTGACCATTGTTTTAATTGTTAATTATTAACTTAACCCAAAGATATTCAGAAAAACAGAAAACTTTCACATTTGAGAAGCTGAAACAAGAGAAATGGTAACATTTCTGCTTGAAAAACAATTCCTCAATTATAAAACTGTTTTCTGTCAATCAACTAATCTATTAATTGACTTCTCTTCAGCTCTATAGACTGTAAATAAAATCTGATGCTGTCACACCGAGGCTACAGCATGACTGGCCTTGTGGGAATCCATCTTAACCTAACCAGAACCGACAGCATGTTCTTGCCTCTTAACTACACAAGGCCACATCATGCAGCATGTAAAGTAGACATTGCATATCAAGCTGTTTAATAAAAATTAAACCCCGTCTATCCACTGGAAAGAGCACAGAGCTCTATTTAGAGTGACTGATCGAGAGCCCAGAATCAAAGGGCCCTGTGGCACGAGCTGCTAGTGTGTCTGGGAATTGGCCCAACTCTTAAAGAGCCAAGCTTCCCTCATCTTGACTGGGGGCCGACCCCCAAAATAGGAAGAAGCTATTTCTGCTGGCAGCCAAGTGGTTCCTCTCTGGAAGTCTGTCAGGTGAGGAGTCGTTGCTGCCAACTGTAACCCCCTCAGGTGGGCACGGGGGCAGGGCAGACCCTCATCATGGCTCCAGCATTGTGACACACAGCAGATGATGCAGAGGGCATTGAGCTCCCTGATGCCTCGAAGATCTGTTGTGAAATTACTCCACTCGACTCCACAGCAGATGGATTATACAAAATACAAAATTGGAATAAGTTTATTTAGAAGAGTAGATGGTGTTGACTGAATGTGGCGTCTCACTTTAATAGTTAACTTCCAGTGGTGGTAACTAAGTATATTTACTCTTGTCCCGTACATCAGTACAGTTTTGAGTTACTTACTTGAGTATTTCCATTATGCTTTTTTATACTTGTGCTCCACTACATTCAAAGGGAAATTGTACTTAACTAAGTTTATCTGATTGCCATAGTTACAATTTGGGTATTATTTTACAGTGGTGGAAAAAACACTCCTTTAATAAAAACACTGGCCTATGTTATGCTGCAGCTAATTTATCTTCGATCCTCAAGCAGAGATGAAAAGCTACAGAAGTCTGGTAAACTCTTTCCTCCTCTTTAACTTTTTTATTATTTATTCATTTTTAATTTTCAAAAATGCAGTGTGTTCATCCCCAACTGATGCTATTCATTTATCAGACTTCACGCAGCTCCCTCTGGAGCCACAAAGGTTTTTTTTACAACTGTTTTGACATATGCAGTCGTACTCCCCTGCACCTGTAAACAGACACTGATGTATAAAATCTGAACTACAAAGTCCTGCCTTCAAAACCTTATTTAAGTAAAAGTACATAAGTATTATCAGCACAATGTACTTAAAGTGACAAATGCAATAGTTCTCATTATACTCAATCATGGTTTTATACATTAACACTCAAGCATTAATATATGAGAAGCATTGTTGTAGTTGTGGTTGAGGCGGAGCTGATTTGAACTACTCCATAGTAGTTCAAAGTCAACTACTCTAACCTACTGTAGGTCAAGGTAAAACTTATTTAGATAGCACATTCAAAACAACCACAGTTGACCAAAGTGCTAAACAGGATTAAAATGCCACATAAACCTCTATAGAAGTAAATATAAAACAAGCAATAAACAATAAACATAATAATAATTTAAAATATGGTAAGCTGTTCCAGAGATTAGGCGTAACCGTGGCAAAGGCTCTGCCCCTTCTAGTTTTGTGCCTGGATCTCGGAACATCCAAGTGAGATAATGTAAGAGTCCTGCTAAAAAAAGCTGGCGTCAGCCCATTTAAAACCTTAACAACCGATAAAATCCTAAAATCATTCCTGAAACGGAAAGAAACCATTGGAGGGAGGCCAATACTGGTGTTATGTGATCGTGCTTTCTTTTTCCAGTTAGAAGACAAGCAGCTGCATTTTGTACCAATTGCAGACGACAAAGAGATGACTGTTCTACACCGACGTACAAAGAATTACAATAGTCTGAGAGATAAACCCTTACTTTGGCTAAAAGTCTTAACTAAAAGCTAGTTTTAACAACTAAACAATATCTGTTTGATTGTAAGAAGCCAGAGTGTCACCAGGGTCATCTAAACATAACAATATCAGTTTTATTTTAATTAAAAATAAATCGATCCATGTTAAGCAGTCAAACAAAGGCTGCATTACATCTTTCAGTCTTCAGTCTTATCAAACCATTTCTGTTCGGAATTAAGTCCAAAAAACCCTATTCAATACGTCTGCACTTTTACTTCAATAAGGCACGATTTTTACTCATAATATTTTAACATTATTGTATAACTATGTTTAGTCAACCAGTTTCTGAATACTTCTTCCACCCTTGTTAATTTCACCATGATGACAAGAAATCGACGGAAAAACACAGGCTGCTTATTGGCTGCTGAAGACAACAACATGTAAATGAAACACTACAAGGATTACTTATTTTCTTTGTTGTGTTGACTCTATTTTGAGCTGCCATACATCATGCAAAACTTTCCCTTTAATCAACCTCAAACCAATATAACAGCACACCATGTTTCATGTTCTCGCTAAAACTGGTTAAACACAGATGGCATGGTGTCATGTTGAGATATTCCCAGCAACGTTGCAATGGAGTTTAATAGAGTGGAGAAGTAGGTGGCATTATACTGAACAGCCAGGGGTGAATTCAACTCGCTATGAATTCAGTTCTTTGTCTTTCATTTTTAGTTTAATTGAAAAACATTGAATTGCTATGCACAAATTATAATACAGCTGAGCCTCTATGGTACAGATCAGAGAGAAATGGAAAACTTAATGTGAAGGAATACAAGAGAAAAACAATTTCCAGCGTGATCCTTCCAGGGCGGCGTCCAAACTTCCAAATATTATTTAACTTTTTAAACTTTTGTTACATCAAGGAAAAACATAACCTTTTAGCTACAATTACATGAATACTTGTTAAATACAAAAATAATATCTTAGCAGGAACATGTTTTAAAGCAAGGCTGCCTTCAGTCTGAATGCCAGCTTTAGAGGGGCTGGTCTACCTCCTGGCTTCACCTCCAGATGCAAAAGTGGTGTTGATCTTCTCAGCTAATTCTCAGCAAGACTTATTCGCTTATTTATATTTAACGAAATGTTCAACTATTTCTTGAATGCAGGAGTCAGGATATTGACTCATCAAATGATTAGGATCAGGGTTAGGATACGACATTTTCCTTGGACTGTATGAAGAACTGAAGGTAAAGCACTGACACGTCACTGTGTTTACTTTGTTTTTATCAAAATAGGAGTCCGAAGCAGTGACAAAAATAAGAACTGGGGTGGTGGGGAAAGAGGTTAGGAATTTATGACGTAACAGGCTAATAAGAAGCATGTTTAAATGTAGGTCAGACTTGACCTATGCACTATACAGCATTACACAACACAACAGCATTATGGGCAGCAAAAAATGGAAATATTTGCTATTCACATAAATAAAATAAACCAAATGTCAACTGAATTTGCATTGCACGCTTTAAACTCTCCTCATGCCACACTTTTGCTATGTTAAGAACGAGAAGGGGTTTCAAACACAGCAAGGCGACAGCGAGTTGAGGACAGTTGATGAGGGAAGAGGAAGAAAGACATCAAATCAACACTGAAAGTGTCGATTAGGTGAGAAAATGATATTACAGCGCTGTCAATCATCTTGGCTTCATGCTTAGAGAGGAAAAAAAGCAGAGCTGCCATAAAAAGTTGTCATGTCAGTAAATTCACATGCGTGACAAAAATACTTTCTTTCGTGAGCTTTTTGTTTCTTCTTAGTGAGCAATACCTGCAAACATGTCACTAGAGCCAGTTGTTTTAGAGAATATAAACACAACATATACACATATGTTGATATATAAAGCTATGGAAGGTTATTGTTGTCAGACACCACCTCCGGTACAGTGCAGTAAATGGACTTTATCATACAATACCTATATAAGCCTAAAGACGTGACTGTTATTTAAATATAATATCTGACACATTTTTATTTATCTTATCACTTTCTGGGTATGGAAGTGTCGCATTCAACCACAACAGATTGCCACAGCCACTTTGAACGTGTGTGAACAGATTGTGCTTTGAAAAAGAAACGGGTGCCTCCAGCAACATTTCACGTCTGCATCCCATCTCTGTCTGAAAACGGGACTAACATCTTTACATTATACATCTTCAAAAACATATCCATTATTCATATCCCCATATTTTAATACTATTAGCACTTCCATGCCACCCACCTAAATACCTGTGTTTCCTATCAAAGGAGCAGAGACAGTCAGAGTTACTTTGTTAAAGAAACGAGTTGGGGTTAGGAAAGTATTGCAGCGATGGACCATCACACAAAATTAAATTAGATCTGTGAGGTAATTTTATTTCTCTGCACTATAAAATCTTGCATCCAAACACAAATGGACACAAGAGAAACTTTGCTTTTACCTGTCACCACAGTGTTTGTGTTGTTTCTATAGACAACAGCAACAAAGGCAAACACACACAGAAACGCACAGTGCTCCCACCTGTGTGTGTGGGAGGTGTGGCCACTCAGCAGCTGAGTGGGGCAGCATATGGAGTTTCTAATTGGGTAGAACAGCACAGCTGGAGGACACCAGTCCAGGACCTGGCCTCTGGTAATCAGTCCCACAATCCTCAGCCCTCCTCTGCACATCCACCGGGCTGCATGTGCGCCTTCGGTGGGTGGGGGTTGCTGGATGTGTTTCGCTGCAGGAACCGAGATGAAACTTGTTTTTATAGCAGTGTTTTACAACATGTTTTCCCTTTTAAATCGAGGGCATCTTTAAAGCATGACTGAGGCCGCTAGCAACCTGAACTATACAGCACTCTGTGCTAATACTTCCATCTCACTTAATAACAAAATAATAAAACAGAAGGGGGAAAAAAAACTTGTGTTGTTGTTGTTGTTGTAGCTGTTTATTTGTAATCAGTTCTCACAAACATTAAGCTTTTGTTCCTTTTGAGTTTTGATGCACTTATTGTGTGTCACTTTGGGCAAAATGATCTGTCAAATGAATGTATTGTAATGTCTTGATTTCTGACATCAATGACTGCTGGACAACAAAAGCACTTTGGTTGAGTTTTGGAAAAGACTGCGTGCTGGTTCAATACAGAAAAAAATGCCAAACTAAAGCGTTTTTGTTGCTTCAGTGTAACGGGACTCAGGATGTAAATCCCAGACTTTGGTGTCTTAAGTCCTGCTGTTTGTGAGCCTGTCATCCTGTTGTGTGCAGTAGATAAATGTAATGCTTCATTCACTCAAAAGTGAGTTTCAAAACTCACTTTTGTGTTTTTACTAAACGTATCTGTGAAGCATTTGCTGACATTGTATTTAATTTGCTTTTTATTCTACAATATTTAAAATATCTGCTTATAGCAACTAAAGCATATTTAATGCTTACCTGTGTAAATGTGCGTTTATTAACAATTACTAAACCTCAACCGTTCCTTAAAGGCATAATCAGTAGGATTTGTTAGCTGTGGTTTGTAAACACAACATTCAAAGATGGCTTCCTCTTGGATGAGTGTCCTGGATCTACACACTGTAATGCATATATTGTATAAATAGAAAGGACATAGTCTCTGTCACCCATTTCAGGAGATTCGCCATCTCACTCTGCCGACTCCCAAAAATTGGCAAATATGTTAAGGTAAATGGACTGTACTTACATAGCACCGTTCCGACCACTGTACTTGCTGTACACTACATGGCACATTTACCCATTCATACAGTGATGGCAAAGGTCATTGCAAACAGAAACTAATTCATTCATTCACACTCATACACCGATACACAGCAATTTGGGGTTCAGTATTTTGCTCAATGACACTTCGACATGCAGCGGGGGGAGCCGGTGATCAGACTGCCAATCTTCTGATTAGTGGATGACCAGCACTACCTCCTGAGCTACTATAGAGAACAAAGCATTTTTTTGTACCAGGCTGTAAACAAGTTTATTTCTGCTGTAAAGTTGGCCATTTTAATATGGGGCCTTATGGAGATTGACTTACTGCAGTAGCCAGCCTCAAGTGACCGTTCAAGGAACTACAGTTTTTGTTTTCATCAGTCTTCGTTACTTCTGTGTTGGCTTCACTTGGCAGCCACGGAAGTTGCTGGCTGTTATTAGCTGGGGGTTTCACACCCACTGCCCAAAGGTTGATGCCCAGAAACATCCTGAACACAGCAAAATAAGAAAATAGTACAGGCAGAGGGCAGCGTATCCTAGCCTCTGGTATAAAAAGCCTGGCCCACCTCCCAATTACCCCAGTGGGGATTAATAAAGTATATCTTATTCAGTACAATAACATAGTGTAGCATGTACTTCACTGAAAGAAATGTGGTTAGTGAACATAATGCAGAAAGCAATCATATTTTGTTTGGGGAAAAAAACAATACTTGAATACGTATGTAATGTCTAATGTAATATTGTCTGTTTTATTGCTGTACCATTAAAAAAGACTTACCTGGATTAAATAAAGTAAGTGAAAAGAAACACAAACACTTGCGGTCTTGCAAAATGTCAGAGATTTGGAAGCATTTCATCATACACAAACCTGCCAACAACAGGTTTATGGTGTGAATCTAACATGAGTATGACAGCAGCAACCAAGGTATCAACAAGTACTCAAAATAAATGAATTGTATAGCAGACTGCTTAAACACTTCCTTATTTAGCCTTTGTGTTTTGGCTCTAGTTATTTGAACATGCACCTCAGTGTAAAACAATGCAAAATAAATAGTGATGGTTGTTAGATTGGTGAGAAACAGAAAGTTAACAATCCAAGGCTCATTACAGAGTCAGCGTCAGGATCAAAACAAATACACGCTTTGCCTTTGGACTTCATTGTGGAGAGTTTTTCTGCCTCACATGGCTTTTACTAAAGAAATGAACTATAAGAAGTAACTCTAAAGACATGCAGTGACTGAGACTTTGTTCTATTACTCCACACCAGTACTATATCCTCAACCACTTCACCTTGCACTCATCATCCAGACACGAACTCCCTTTAACTGCTGACATCAATTGAGAAACGCTTGCAACTCAGCGTGCGATCAGTGGCGCCTTCATTTGCAGCTCGACACCACGCACCGTGCCTATAAAAGCTGATAATGTGATAATTAAAAGAGCTGACAGGCAAGAACTGTCAGCAAGACACCCTGATTTACCAACCTCTGCTATTTGCTATACCTCTCAAATTACAATGCTTCCACCCTTGATGTATGACACATAAAATATCAATTGAAATAATTAACTAGGTTAGAAGTGGTGTGGAAAAAAAAGGTGAAGGAGTCTCAGTGGAGGACAGTTTGGATGAAAACCGTCCAAAAAAGCATCACAAGATCAGATTCAGGCCTGAAACAAGAATTTCTAGCAGACAAAAGATCACTGCCATGTCTCTGTCTCTCTCTCTTTCTTTCTCTCTCAACCACACTATGATTTATTACCTGAAAAGACAAGAGAACTAATTAGTGGAGTAATTAATTAATATAAATTTGCATATTTGCATTTGCAATTAGTGCAGTCAACTGATTAGTCTGAGATGGGGAGTTTGACTCATCAGATGCTGGTGTGTGTGTGTATGTGTGTGTGTGTGTGTGCTGGACCAGAACGATCAGCAGACCAGCTGAGGCATTTTGGGGGGACGGCAGTGATGAAGAGACTGTTTTTTATTATTATTATTATTATTATTGTTATTCATGTGTCCATGTCTGTTTTTTTGGGTGTGTTCACAAACAGTAGTCTTTGTCAACGTGCACGCTTAGACACACTCACCTGTGAACACATGTTTGGTGCCCTGTCACACACAGGTTAAATATATGCACACTCACCAGTGTGTGTACATGCTGCTGAACCGGCTATCTTACCTTTGCCTGGTCCTTCGTACTCTGAATTCATTATCAACACGCTGTGGCCGCTCTGCTGCCGGGGCCCACCCCACTGATCGATGTCTTGTGATGTCCAATACAGAGAGATTGATAAGTCGCTTTAATTGATTCTCCTTGCAACAAGGTCATTCACAGGCATACGTTTGTGTGTGCACTTGTGTGTGTGTTCCACATAACTGAGGAGTGCATATACCCATATCGAGTGCCAGCTGTGCCCCAGTGTGGAGTTGGCAGTGTGCCACTGGGCCTTTTCCATGGGGTGTACTTAATGTCTACGGTCCTGAGGTACCAACACTGTGCACGCCCCCCTGGTATTCTCACACCATCCTCTGCATGTGAGGTGCCTGCTGGAATTTTTTAACCTAGTTTATATAGAGCTGCACCAATTTAAAGCAAAAAAGCCGAAAATTCTCTGGTTGCTCAATTGTGATGATATGCTGATTTTCTCTAACCTTCTGAGGCAGCCGGACTTGTGAGATCACGTGAGAATCCATCTTGCCAGGCTTCAATCAATTTGTCTGTGGCTGGTACAGTGGTACTGGTACTGGCTGCTACAGGGGAGGTACTAGGTGTGACGCGAAACAACAATGGTGCCTCCTATAGATGTTAGTGTAGATGCTGCTAGTATCAGATATATCAGAGCTGGAGAGTATTTCTTCATTGAAAGAAGAGCAGAAAAAGCCCTGAAGGCTTTTCTGGATGGAAGAGATGTTTTTGCTCCACCCCTGACTGGGTTCGATAAGAGTTTGACTCTGGTAAGTTTGCCCATGTGAGACAGACAGTTCATCCAATCACCTGCCGAGTATTAAAAGTGCCTTTCCTTTTCTAAAAAGTTTCCAATGACTACTTCCCAGATGGTTCTGTGTAACATCGCAGTCTGGTTAGACTTTCTCTGTCAACAAGGACATTTTTCAAAATGTTCACACTTTTAAGCCCTAATCGATTGAATCATCATGAAATGATTGAGAAAATGATCTGCAAATCAATAATGAAAACGTATCATTAATTGAGTGTTTGGATTTTGATTGGCTGTACTTCCTCATCGTTTGGGTCCCACAAACCCAACAGCTGCAGTGTGTGTGTAATAATAAAATTAATAATTTTAAAAAATCAACAAATTATTTTTCCCTTTAAACATTTTTTTGTTTTATACAGAACTTATTAAATCAAATAACAACAACAAAAAACATAGTTTGTAACTTCCTTCAGAATGACACATAGAATGTTTTCTGATGACCCTATCAGCAGGACCACAGCAGTGCCTTCCAAAACTGCTGTTTGAAAACCAATGTTCTGGTTAAGGTTCAGATAGGTCCAAGCTAAGCACAATTAAGACTTTGATATAGGGAAGGATTGTGGTTTGAGTAAAAACAAGTGCTTAGTTTAGGTTAGAAATACATTACTGCTAAAGGCCTTTGTCACTTGAACAAAAGCAAATACTGTTTATGTCATTTTTCTTGGGAGGTTGGTCTAACATATAGAGAAGTACTGAAGTTGTAACGCTTCCCTTTGCTACAAAATGGGCTGAGGAAGGTGACAGAATTGTACATGCTGTGCATGAACAAATATAACTTTGTTTTGTTTCCCTCTTTGTGGTCCCTCTTTAGCCTCTAATAAACAAACTGTTACTTATTACAGATTTTAGATGGGTTATTGCTGTGTAAAAAGTACAACAGAATAACAGATATAGAGTAAACAGAAGTCCATTATATTTAACCCTGTTTTACCAAAACAGAAGTCGTAGGTCATTTTCTGTCATCAGTTCAAAATCATGTTTATGAGTAATTTTCATTAAATCTGTGAAGTATCAAGATGAGAAAACAGTGATGGGTTTAAGGTTTAAGACGGTTTAAGAGGCAGGGGTATAGCCTATATCTGTATTATTTAAATCATCTTGGTCCCAATATGCCTTTTGTGTTCCTTGTTTGCAGCTCCCAGTCAGGAATGCATTTATAATTAGTTTAATTTAATTAAATAAATTAAATTAATGTAATTATATTTATCTTGCTTTGAGGGGAAGACCTTCCACCTCCACAGGCTTTACACTTAATGTGTGTATTTAACTGTGTATGTCTTATATCTTTCACAATATTAGATTTTTATGTGCAAATAAATCCAATTTATAGTTGATTTATTCTATTAAATCTGTCTGTCTGTCTGTCTCACCTGTTGAGGATGCCTGCAGACTCGCACATCCCTCGTTTTTTTTCCCAGACAAAAAGACATTAATTCATCTTTCTTACAAGGGGAGATTCAGATATTAGTTGTTATCCCTCTCCGGTCTGTGTTTTTGACGGTAAACGCGGGCCTCCCGGTGCCCATTACCGGAGCTGCCAGATGATCGGTACGGAATGGAGGTCCCATGGGACACTGAACACGTGGTCTCGGCTGCCACAAGACGTCAGCGGCAGATGGCATGGGTACCCGCTGTTGGCATGAGTGTCATTCCTCAAAGAGAGAGGGAAGGGGTAGAGAGAGAGGGAGAGGGAGCAGAGAAGAGCGAGAAGAGAGAGAGCAGGTGAGGGGGAGAGAAGAGGAAAAGGAAGAGCAGAACACAGCAGAGAGAGGAGGGTGCACAGGTTTAAGCTTTTTCTTTCTAATTTGTGGTTTGCAAGAGAAGAAGCTGCACATTCAGAGGAGATATTTGGGAACATGCGAGGCGCACGCTGACCAGAGGTGAGTATTGTTAGTATTACTTATGCATTTGTTTACTTTTTGGTTTATTGCTTAAAATGTGTGTAGAATGATTTTGTGCTAAAAAAAAAAAAACGCACAAAAGCACAAAACGAGGTTCTTTTCTCACAAGTCCAAAGACAATGAAGTTGAGTGTCTTTAAAAACGTAGCAAGCTGTGACATTGGCCTTGCTTGCCAATTTGTCCCTCTTCCTCTTGGGGGGACCCATTCACAAGGTAATTAACTGACAACCTTCAAAAGAAGTCGGTGTTGTACTGTCTTTATAGTTTATGTTTTTGTTTTTTTTTTGCTTTGATTTTTTACAGGAAATATGTTGACACTGCCCTTCGAGGAATCTCATATGATGTGTGAGCCGCGGTTTGGTGCCAGTTATACCCGTGAAAGCTTACCTGAGAGCCTGGAACAGGAGCGACAACACAACCCGGACAGGTCTAACTCAGACATGAGGGAGGACGAGGACTGCATCTCCGACCGAGAGGAGGACGAAAGGGAAGATGATCAGGATGAGGACGGGCTTCCTAAAAAGCGAGGCCCCCGGAAAAAGAAGCTAGGGAGGGAGCAGATGGACAGGTCCAAAGTACGGCGCCAGGAAGCCAACGCCCGAGAGCGCAGCCGGATGCACGGCTTGAACGCCGCGCTCGAGAGCCTGCGCAAAGTTGTGCCGTGCTACTCTAAAACTCAAAAACTGTCCAAGATTGAGACCCTTAGACTGGCTAAAAATTACATCTGGGCCCTGTCAGAGACTCTGAGTGCAGGGAAGAGACCGGACCTGCTCGCCTTCGTACAGACTTTGTGCAAAGGATTATCTCAGCCCACTACCAACTTGGTGGCCGGTTGTTTGCAGCTGAACGCGAGAAATTTCCTCACAGACCACAACGGGGAGGTCATGTTCTCTGGCAGATCGCCCTACGATGCCATGTACTCGTACCCCGGCTCAGACATGAACACGCCCCCCGGCCACAGCGGGAGCAGCTTGGACAGCAGCGCCAAGCCGTTCAGACACTACAGCTACAGCGGCGCGTACGAGCCCTACTACGAGAACCCCTCCCCAGAGAGCGGGAGCCCGCATTTTGACAGCCAGCTGAGCCCCCCGATGAACTTTAACGGGATTTTCTCCCTAAAACACGACGATCCGCCAGACTACGGCAAAAGCAGCCACTATGGCATGCGCTACTGCAGTGCGCCAGGGCGCACGGCTCTTGCTCACAACTCCATGTACCGAGTGTCCCAAGAGGCCCGTTTCCCCTACGATCTGCACGTCCGCAGCCAGTCCTTCCAAGCACAAGGGGAAGTTAATGGCTCTTTCCACAATTAATCAATCAGCTGGACAAAGTTCAAGTTTCAGAAGCGATGCAATTTCCCCCCGCAGATGTCGAGAGTGGAACGAAATGGACTCCAGACACACTGATGCACTGCAAAATGCCCATTTTAACAACTCATTTTGTGTTCAATGTTCAGTTTTGTTTTTCTTTGAAACATAGTAAAAGTCTGCAAATTAGATGTAGATGATTTCACTACATTCTGGCTCCGATAGACAGAAAAACGACTAAATTAAAGTGAAATTACTCCAGTCTGAAGGCAGATAGATCTTCTGCTTCATTTAAAGAAAATTAAGATTTAATGGCTCACTGCCACCTATTTGTTTCCAGTGGAAAACACCACAAATGTAGAAGATTTCGTTAAAGATGGAGGTTTTGAGCAGATTGTGTTCAGTTTAAGTGCTCTGTATTTGTTAATGGCAACAGCCAGTTAAAATAGTTTTCCTGGCGAAATAAAAATCAGATAAATGAAACAAACGGGGTAGAAGAATTTAAAGACGTTAAAGTTTCACTTCATCAGGGAAGTTTGCTGAGACATGATTGGAGTTCAGAGATTCAGTCTGTTAGCAATAAAGGTCAATTGAGCTATGCAAGGCAGCCAAATGCAATCTTTGCTTATAAAAAATGATATATGTATATTTCCTCTCACAGGGCGTTTCTCATAATCTAATATCTAATTAAAATGATGACAATTACATACAATTAATTATTTAAAAAAAAATGTTTGGAGACGTGCATGTGTTTAGGAGACCTGGTGATGATGTCATCTGAATTGGTCCTATAAATACAGGAAGTTGTGGGGAAAAACTGAAAAACTAAAAAACTAAATGCATTTGTATTTGGAGTAATAGTGTGGTAACGAGGTGAATGTAAATTATTATTGTATTTATTTATTTAAGCTTATTTATTATAAGTCCGTCAATTTGAATGTGGATAATATATTATAAAAAAAACTATTGTAAAATTCAAAAACAGTGTTACCTTTTATGTGAATTCCCATACAGTTAAAGTTTGTTTATGTTGCATTGTTGTATATTTCTCTGCAGCTGAGAATCGAGGACTGGAAGGAAAATCATTTTGTTTGAAGTGAACAAAACTATATGAATCCGAGACAACATGCCTTAAAAAAGAGATGATGACCATCAATATGCAACGAAATGACAGTTTTGGAGTTTGATGTGAACTTTTTACACTTCCTTGTTCTTGCTGAAGAGCAGCTGTGATGCACTTCATGTATTTCTGCACAATGTTGGTGACTGTACTCATAAATTATGTTGCTTTTGTAACTTTACCCGAATGACGAATGATTATTGGATTATATTTCTATTTTTTATTTCTCTCTCTCTCTCTC